CATACTGCCCTGCCAACATAATGAATACATGAATTAATGAATTAACTAATTACTTAATTGATTTAACATTCATTCAAACAAACAAAAAAGTAATAATACATCAACATCTCTTAGTGGGAGAGGTAGAAGTGGTGACACTGTTGAAACGCCGACACTAAAAGTGCAGTGCGGATTTCAAAGGAAGAGTATTTCACAAGCAAGTGGGAAGTAATACGTATGTAAAGTATAATTATAAGTAATAAGTAAATAGAATAAGGCCATTTCACAAAGAAGGGGAACGCTTATAACGTTATTACAAAGTAAAATTGTTTGGTGATCATCATCATTTCATGTACTGTTTAGACGTCAAGTGTCATAACTCCAAATAATTCACATTAATACACATTCATGAGCAAAAAATGGCCATGGACTCGTCAACTTCCTTGAAAATTGTATTTTAATTTTTAAATTTAGAAATATAATAAATAAAATGCAAATTAAGACCTATGGCGGCGATAAATGATTTCTGCCAGCGGCGCGGCCATACAATAGCCAAAAACATGTACGCTTGACATTTTTATACAATTGGGAATAAATCAACAGTGATTTAATACCTTTATTAATGGTGCGAAGAACAAGAACAGTATTTTAATACGTAGGTGAAAGCACTACAAATTATTCAACAGCCTTGTTAATTTGTCGAGTGTCAATATTAAATCATGTTCACACCTCAATAACAATATGTCGAGAAATCCCATTGGGAATTATCTCTTGTCAATGGCTATTGGGTTGAAAAAGGTTTTAAGAGTAATTTTGTATAAGTACAGTAATAGCAGTAAACTATTTTTTGGGTGTCTTTTTATAGAACAGGAAGTACAGTAGGTCCTCAATCAGTACTGTAGCTCATTGGTGGGGTGGATGGTCAGCAGCTCCCCCGTCGGTGAGAGTTCTCCTCGTCTAGGAGAATAACAATTCGTTGGGGAGGAGAAAACATTATATATTTTTTACATATTAGTAGATAATAAAATCGTTTAAATAAGCGTTGAAACCCCGAAATTACAGTAGTTTCCAGGGGCTTCGTCCCCTGGATTACTTCTGGGAGAGTT